CTGCTACAGCAGACAATCCTGTCCAGCCGCCACCGCCGCCATGACGCTGGCAACGATGCTGACGACCAACACACCGAACACCAACACGGCCAAGCAACGTGGAAGCAATAGGTGGTGTGCAGAGGCGATGTCGCTTCCAACGGCGCTCGTATGCTGGATAGGGTATGGGTGGTGGAGAGGAACGGCCCGAGTCGGCACTCGGACAGCAACATCGTCAAACAGATTCTGAGTTTGCGTGGCCTCAGGAAAGACGACACTGCCGTCCGCGTCCCACTGGGGCCGTTCTTCTTCACCAACCATAGCCTATAGAGCAAGCGCAGGTGATTACAATATGTGCCATACATGCGGATGGGCGGACATTGGTAAGAACATCGAAGAATATGTTACAAAGGCATGGGTTGCATACGCAGTGGTCCAGTGGCTGATGTGTTGGTTGTGAGCATCGTCGTCGTCATGACGCGTGAATACACCAGCCAGTGGATGGTGTCGACTGCGGCAATGTTGTAAGCAGCGTACGCCACAGGATCAGTATCGTGTGGGAAGCTGGCGCTGCCGAAGAAGTCGTCGTTGTCATGCAGCAGTTACCGAACTATGACGAGTACTTCGGCAGTGCCAGCTTCGCAGACGATAGTGACCATGTGGCGTACGCTGCATACGACTGCTTAGACGCTGACGTTCGCCGCACAGGTATGCAGGGTAGCGCAGGTAAAAGCGCACGGTGCACGAGCACTTGTGTTGTCCGCTGAGGCAGTGGCATTGTTTTGGTACGGCACCGACGCAGCCCATCACACACACACACACACACACCACCACACCCACCTGCGAATGGCTGCTGTGAAGGCCTTCCGGACGCAAGTTCTATCGGGTTACTGACCCGGTACAACTTGGATCCAGAAGGACTGGACAGCAGCCACCCGCAGGTATGCGTGTGTGGTGGTGGGCAGGGGGGGAGTGGGAGTTTTGCATGCATAGGTACCGTATCATAACAACGCCACCGGCTCAACGGTTAGTGTTAATTAGGTATGCGACGACACCACTGTTGGTGTACCAAATAGGCATTGTAACGTACGACTGCAAAGTGTACGTGGGCTCGCATCCGCTGAGGCAGTGGCGTTATTATGGTACGGGACTGATACAGTGCATCACATATACACCACACCGGGCTACACCACACCGACCTGCTGTCCAGTCGTTCTGGATGAAAGTCACACGGGGTCAGTAACCCGGTAAGGTGCGGACCCGGACGGTGTGGACCCGAGTCTTACCGGGTTACTGACTCGGTACGACTTGGATGCATAGTAGACAGCCACAGGTGTGCGTGCCCGTGTGAGTGTGTGGCGCGTCGGGGGGGGGGGGCAGGGAGGGAGTTTTGCGTGCGTCGGTAGCATACCATAATAATACCACGTGTTGGTGCGGGCATCATTGTCATCATGGCGGCGGCATTTGCTATGCACGTGCGAATCGGGCCTTCCGTCTAGACCAAACAGAGTGTATCTGCTAGGCCCATGTGAACACATACGCACCTGCCATACACAGTAGAGCCGCTGCAGGCAAGATGCATTTCGAATGGACGGACGAACGGTAAGATCCGTGGTTCCGGATGTGTTAGTGAAGGGGACTGCAGACACACGGCAGCGGCAATCCGGGAGGGATGACAGACAGTCAGACGGTCAGACGGAAGAGCGTGGGTGCAGTCATACGGTCAACACGGAGTGATAGGGGGGCGGGTACTAGTACGGCCACGATAACGTGGGCGAAGGAGGACCGAGAGGGGGCGGAGGTTGGACCGGGAACATACCTGTCGAGTGCATGGTGAATAGCAGAAGCCGTGGTGCCTGCACGGTCGCGCGATCGGCAGCAGCCATGCGGCGGTGCTGGCTGCTTGGCGACAGGACGGTGTACTGGCACGACATCCGTCGTGGCGACGTGCTGCTGCGGCGCTCGTACATCGCGTCCGTGTGTTACTAGGGCCCTCGTCGTCGACCAAGCAGAGCCCATACCGCATGACATGCCATGGGTGGACAGCGGTGACAACATGTTAGAAAGGAACGGGATATATACAATACACAAACGGCTGGAAACGTGTGTTAGTGCAGGGGACTGCAGACACACGGCAGCAGCAATCCGGAAGGGAGGTTAGACAGTCAGACGGTCAGACGGAATAGCGCAGGTGCAATCATACGGGCAACATGGAGTGACATGGGGGCGGATACTAGTACGGTCACGACGAGGACCGAAAGGGGGCGGAAGCCGGGCCGGGAGCATACCTGTCGAGTGCATGGTGAATGGCAGAAGCCGCGGTGCCTGCATGGTCGCGCGATCGGCAGCAGCCAGCAGCGCCGCATAGGCGGCAGGACGGTGTACTGGCACGACATCCGTTGTGGCAACGTGCAGCTGTGGCGGCCGAAATGTGGATCCAGTGGCACTCGTACGTCGCGTCCGTGTGTTATTAGGGCCCTCGTTGTCGATCAAGCAGAGTACCCATCGCAGGACCTGCGATGGGTGGACAGCGGTGACAACATGTTCGAAAGGAACGGGATATATGCAACACATAAACGGCCGGAGACGGCAAAGGCAGCGGTACGGGAATAGGTACACATGGCACCATAGCAGTGTACGTGGAGTATCACAACTGCCAACACTGGATACACGACCGCCGTGCGGAAATAGAGACTGGCGGTGAAGAGCTGCCGAAGGGTGTCGAAGAGGCATGGAGGCACGCTAACACGATCACATATGTACCTGCTATACAGGCCAGAGCTGCTTCAGGCAATAGGCATTTCGAACGGACAGACGAGCGGTAACATCGATGGATGGGACCCCGTATGTGGCAGCGCAGGAGACTGCAGACAGACGGCAGCGGCAATCCGGAAGGAATGACAGACAGTCAGACGGTGAGACGGAATAGCGTGGGTGCAATCATATAACACGGAGTGACAGGGGGGCGTGTATTTATAATTTAGACACAAGACTGCGCGGGCAGTGCATCGTATCGCACCACATCTGATGCGCCGACACATACGGACGCCAACTCGTTGCACACCTACCACGCGCGATGGAGACCTTGCAGGAAAAGCTCGGCATGGAAATGCTCGGCACCAGGAACCACGATGCACGCAAATATGCAATGCACTGCAGCGGCGATGCGTGACGGTTGTGCAGAAGCAGGGCCGGATATCGCGAAAACTCGCTATGTCGAAAAAGCAAGATAAATAATAAGCAGCAAGATGAACACCGGTATTACAGACTAATTATCGCGGCCGTGAAGCACTTGCTTAGACACGCAATATACATACATCCTAAACAAATAGCAACACAAAACATGTACAAGGAGAACTGACATAAAATAGTTTGCGCGTGCATACAAAGAAACGACACCAAAGTTGTCGTACACATGTTAACGTGATGTGATTGCGCGGACATCGTGCACACGCCTGCGTGGACATCGTCACAACGACGAGTCGCTATGTCGCAGTAAAGGACGTATGTAAATAAAAAAGAGAACCGACACAGAACGAGTTCATGCAAAACAATGCATGTCGTACACTTGCCGACACGGTGTGGTGCGACGGACAAGCGGTAATGTGCCGACGCACATACACGTGGGTTGCATCATAACGCACACTCACCGCGCCTACTGGAAGCCACCGAAGAGAACAGCGTGAAGGCTTGCCGGAGCAGCAGCTTCAACGCATGCGAACCTGCACGACAGTGTGAAGGTCGCGAGGAGACAAGCCCGGAACTCGTTACGTCCAATTCGTTATGTCCAAGCATCATGTACACGAGTGGCATGCGCACAGCAGAGCATGCTGCAGGGAGAGCGGCAAGAAGCGGCAAGAGGTGGATACGAGTGAGACACGTACGAATGTCAACACGGTACAGCACTCGTGCTTGAAGACCCTAAATTATACCAGCGAAACCGGTTATACCGTTCATATACTCACCAGTGTAGGTGCGAGGGACGCCGCCAACTTGTGTGGGAGTCGAACCCACAAGTGCACAGAATGCACCCAGCCCTGCAAGTGTGTCGTTGCGCGGCTAGACAGCCGCTGAACGCTGGCATTTAACGCCATCCAGGGGCGGCTAGATGGGAGTGAAGGGAGGGGACAGGTGCAAGGCATAGCGAACTTGGACGACGTGTAGTGGACGGCAGCGCAAGTGGATGAACACCCAAGAACGAGTCATTCCTGCAGAGCTGTGATAAACGTTGTTCGACCTTCTGTCTTGGTGGTGATGGTACCGGTGACGGTGAATGAGTCGTAAGCGGTGTACGCCATACGATCATTATTGTCTGCGAAGCTGGCACTGCCGAAGAACTCGTCGTAGTTCGGTAACTGTTGCATGACGGCGATGCTGTCGGTGCACACCGGATAACTGCGGCTGCCGACTGTGAGGACGAGCGGGAGGACCGGTAGTGAGCCGACTACAGTGACAGAAGTGGGGTTGGGCGACAGGGTGGCCGAGGCGTGTGGACCATCCGACGGTAAAACAAGGGCACTGCGGCTACGCTGCTCCCAAGCCAATACCATATCAGTTGTGTCGGCGGGCACGGTGGCCGCGGTAGTTCGCTGAACAGCCGCCTGGAAGGTGTGCACTCGCTTGGGAGGGCGTTTGCCGGGGGCACTCGCTGCTGCTACAAGCGAGCCGCTGAGGAAGACGCTATTCATATAAGCTTTGTTAGAGGAGGGGCTGATCTTGGCACCATACACGTAAAGGGGCGTGCTGCTATCGGCCGCTGCTTGTAGCTGAGCGACGAAGTCGTCGGGAGCGGACTCCCTGATGGCGAGCTCCACGCGTCCGGCGTCGGGACTGTCACCGTTGCCGCACGCGACCCACGCCTTAAACTTGCGGAACGGCCCGCCCCGGAACATCCCGCCGTGCGGGATGAGCAGGAGGGCGCTGCCATCCGACACGTGCTTGTCTTCGGGGCGGGCCCTGTCGCTGCCGACATCGTAAGCAGGGAACCGAAGCCTGGCGCTGTAGAGCATTGGGACAGCGGAGGAGGGCTCCACGGAAATCCGCGTCGCTGAGGAGACTTTAAACTGCCCCACCGTCACCCCAGCGAAACGAGAAGTTATGTAAGGCGGCAGGGAAGCTGAATCCATGTTGGCGAACGTCACACGGTGGCCGAACGCGTGGCTGCTCTCCAGCCTGCCGAGGATGACATCGTCAATCTGCATGATTACTATCCCCTGGCCGGCGGTATTCACGCCAGCGATGAAGCTGCTGTAGCGGCTCTGGGCGCCGGCAAAGAGGCGGTCCTCACTGGTTTCTGTGGGGCCGGCCATAAACGTCACATGAAAGGTGACGCTCCTTGAATCCCTACGTGTTGCAAACAGGCGTCAAATGGGGAGCGTTACACGGTATTTAAGGTACACGCGAGCGGTGATGAACATGACGGAAGACATCTGTGCTTAAGAGACAGCGGCCAAATATGCGCGCCGGAGCTGATAGATGCGTCTATTTCGCACGGTGAGAGGCGGAGGCACAAAGTCGGGCGCGTAAGTACCTTACTGGTGTCAACACGCTATTTGCACGTAGCAGCTCGCTTACGTGGCGGCGACGGGAGGGCCGACCGTCGATGTGCTGCTCTGCGATGCAGCCGTGTCCAGCCTCTGGCGCTTGGCGTCCGGTGGGTCGATACTACTGCGGAAGTTGGTCGAAGGTGTAGAAAGTCAGGAGATGGGATCGGATAAGTTTCGCATAACACATAACACAAAACAGGGGATGCAGCAACGGAGAACACGAAACAAGGCAATGCAATGTATACGAGCAACATGTTTACACATTATGCCAGCGCAAACCGACCTGGTGGTGACCAGGGTCCGGCATCGCAGATTGTAGGACGTGCTAGAGTCCAGGCGTTGCCGCTTCGCGTCCGGTGAATCCATATCACTGCTGGCACTAAACAGGTATGTATGAAAGCAGTGGAGACAATTGGACTAGGCAGGCTTGCAAAGAGTGCAGGATAAGTGGGGAGGAATCGGCGCGCTAACAATTATACAAACCGCGGCGGCGTGTCGTATACATGACAGATGCCCGAGGATCGGCAGATGCGGACATTGGACGCGCACGCACCGCGGCTGCGAGACTGGTGTAGCTGCCAACCCGCATCATTGCGGCGGCCTTCGAGTTGGAGTTCGAAAAACAGGAGTAGATTTATAGAGCAAAGAGAGACGTGCTTAGGTGATGACGCGGATTGGTGCCAATTCGCGCGACTGCAGCCGCGTCCAGCAAAACCAAAGCAGAGATCGGCAGACGCGGACATTGGACGTGCATGCACCGCGGCTGTGAGGCTGGTTCAGCTGGCAACTCGATTGCGGTGGTCGTTAAGGAGTTCGAAACATAAGTACATTTATATAGCAAAGACAGACGTGCTTAGGCGATGACGCGGATTGCTGCCAATTCGTGTGATTGCGGCCGTGTCCAGCGAGACAGAAGCAGAAATGGATGCTGATAAAGGCGCGGATAGCCGAGATATCGCGTCAATAAATTGTTGTATATGCAAGAGGATTTGTCACGGGCGCGGTGCAGTGCGGCGTGCGTGCGGTGCGGTGCGGTGGGCGTGTCGAATGACGTAAACACGGTGCGGCGCGCATTGCACTGTTGTATAAGAAAATAGAACAAAGAAACGTGCGGGCGCTGAGCGACGACGCCAGCGAGCCGCAACGTAAAAAAGACAAAAGGACGCGCCGGCCCCGGGATCGAACCGGCGACCGCGGCTCCCACTAGACATCGGAGCTAGCGTGCCCGGCGAAGCGGCGCACGGCCATGCTCCGGGGCGCCTTCCGCGGGGGCAGGTGTGGTGCGGCGCGGCGCGGGGCGCCGAACCGAACGAAGGAAGAAGACGAAACAAGCGGCGACGGCGGGACGCGAACCGACGACCGCGGCTCCCACGCGGCGACGGAGCTAGCCTAAAAGGCGCGGCTCCGAAACCGCGGACGACACACGAAAAACACGAAAACTAGACGCGGGCTGCGTCGCCCGCGATGGGGCCGTAGTCCCCCGGCTGGGCGGCACGAGTACGACGGAGCGTGCGTATACTTGTAGTACAGCCGTGTGGGAGTCGAACCCACAAGTGCAAGGGATGCACCCAGCCGTGCGGGCGTGTCGTCGGACGGCTAGAGAGCCGTGCAACGCTGGCATTTAACGCCATCCAGTGGCGAGGCAGACGAACTGTTTTACGTGTCAGGTGGTGTTGGCTGCGGAGGTCCAACGCTCCTCTAGGTTTCTGGCGTGTTTGTACTCGGTCGTATAGCGTTCACGTGTTTCGGTTGCACGGTGATCCAGGAGGCGGAGTTCGGCCGCCAGGTCAGGGTCCAGCTTGGTTGCTGCCATGAACTGTTTGACGACTCGTGTTCGTTCATCGGGTGTGGTAGAGAGCGGGCGCAGGAGGCGGATGTGGTCGAGTGTCTTGTAGCGGGTGAGCAACACGTACATGGTTGCACGCTTGAGGCCACCGGGCGGGACGGAAAGGTCTGCGACCCAGCATTCTTCCTTGAAGCTACGGCCCTGTACGAAGTAGTCGGTGACGGCGTAGTAGTCACCAAGCGGTACATTGACTCGACGTACATTTTTGGTGGTGGTGCCGGTGTTGGCGGCTGGCACGGTGATGTTTGCTGCCGGCGAGGGCCGTGGTACGATGGCGAAGGCAGCACCTTTGGCTGCGAAGTCCGATAAGTCTGCTAGCACCGCTTTGGGCGCGTGCCCTTTAATGGGACGGACCAAGACGGCTGCGGGTAGGTAGTGGAGGCGCCAGTACGGGCCGCGGCCATCGTCGGGCGGTTCACGGCTGTCGGTAAGCAGGCCACACGCCTCGACTTCATTGTTGTGGCACGCGCCGGCGTCGGCAGCTGTGGTGTCGAGTAGGGTGTAGCGTGCACCCTCGTAGTACCAAGTGTCGGCGGTGGTGTGGTCGAAGGTGGCGTCTTTTACTCGCATTGCGACAGCCTTTTCGACGTGTGAGAGTGCCTGTTGTTGGGTTGCGCCATGTTGCCTAACCGGGACGTGGTCCGCATTCCAGCTGACCAAACGCGCTCCTTTGCGGCGCGCCTGGAGCATCAGGAGGCGTGTGTTGAGCGCGTGCCTGGGTTCGTTCCGTTGCAGCACGACGCGGGGTTCGAGGTCTGTGAGGTCGGACAAATCTGTGATGACGCGTTGGTTGAGTGCGTCTACTAGATCTGCGACACGTGCTTCAGTGGTTGGAATGCCGCCGAACATGGTTGCGAAGCGGGTAAGCTGCTGGCCAGATGGGCTGTTGTCTTGCCGCTGCTGTTTCTGCAGCATGAATACGGTGCCGCCGAGCTGACGGTACAGGTTGAAGCCGTCGTGTAGGCGGGTGTGCGTCTGTGGCACGGGGCGACGAGTGCGACGTGTGGAGGTGGTGGCGCGACGGTTGCCGGTGTCGTCGTCTGCGTCAGTGTTGTCATTGTTGCTGTCATCATGACGGTGACCTCGACCTTCGTCAAGTGAAGCTGGTGTGCGTTGTGCTGTCGGTGCCGAGGGAGTGAACTGGGGGTTTCGCTCAACGTCGGCGGCGTAGCGGTACGGTGGTGAACCGCCTGGCTGAGGGTGCTGTAGCAGGTCGCCGATTCCGCCCGCGGCGCGGCCGGATAAGACGCGGCTGCTGTCATGGGCGGGCCCAAGGTGTGGCGGAGGCGGCAGACTGGCTGTGCAGGAGTGGCTGATGGCGCCGAGGTGCTCGTGGCTTTGCATGCCAATTTCGTCGATGAGCACAGCGCCGTCGCCGACGTTGTGTTTTACTTGAAGGCCAGCATGTGCGCCGCGCTTAGGAAAGTTGGTGCCACGGGAGCCGCTTTGGCTGGCTGAGATGCCGAACATGGAGTGGGTAGATAGGCTGCGATGGACTGGGGTGTTGAACGCGATCGCGGCGGCCCAAGAGTATGCGCACGTGGCGGCCCAGTCAGGACTGTCATGTTGGTACGTGTACCACAGCAGTGCGTGTACGAACTGAGTCTTGCCTGTGCCCGGAGGACCCATGACGAGCATTTGCGGTGGGACACCTGGATCGGGTTGGTTGCGGCGGTCGAAGTAGCGTGCCATGAGCATGAATGGCACGGCCTGATCCGGCGCCAGGGTAAACAGCTCGATGGTTTCATCGATGGTCGGCGGCCGTGCTAAACGCAAGTAGGTTGGCATTCCCGCTGTGATACGGTCAGATTGTTGGGTGCCGTTTACGAGTACTGCTACGAGTGGGTAGCCGGGGCGGCGATCCAATTGCAGACGGGGTGTCCGTTCAGTGGTGGTCGGCGTGGTTGTGGTGCCTTCAGAGACGACTAGATAGCGCTTCAGGCGCTTAGAAGCTTCACTTAGCAGCGCGACGTCAGTGGCCCGTACACGGCGAATGAAGGGGTTGGTGTTCGCGCCGAGTGCATCAGGGAGAGGAAGTACACGGCAACGGCGAGCTGCACCGTAGGCGTAGAGGCCTTCCACCGTGGTGCGGTCGTATAGGTCCGTTAGGGCGATGTCGGGTAGGTTGATCCCCATCGTCGGGTCGCCTTGGCCTGGCACAAAGTCATACCGTTCGACCTGGGCGTCTTGCGGCGGCTGTGTGGTAGGATCGGGTTCGAGATGGCGTCGTGCAGCTTCTGGGTCTTCATCGTCTGGGTCGCTGGAACTGTTTTCGGGAGCCAGACCGGCGTTTGCAGCGGCAGTACGGCGTAGGCGACGTCGCAAGTTGTAATCGGCTTGACGTCGGGCGCCGGCGATGTGTTCTGCTTCGATGTTGTCTAGTAGGACGCTGATACAGGCTCTGTATGATCGGCCAGTCTCAGTGGTTCCCAGGTCCATCCACCATGCGTCGTACGCCTCTTTCACTGTCTGATCGGCAGCCACTGGTTGGCCACGGTGGGCCTTAAAGACTCCTAAAACGAACGCATAGTAGGCGGTGGCGGCTGCGGTGGTGCTTTCTGCTTGCGGGCGACGGGGCAGTTTGCCACCCAACACAACGTACCTTGGTTGCGCTAGGCGATGAAGTACGTGCGTCAGATATAGGGGGTGCGTTGGTTGGAAGGCCACATTCTTGGGAGGTATGGTTGACGTTGGGTTAGTGGGCAGCTGTTCCACGGATGGGCCGGCTGGTGCAGGGGACGTCAATGGAGTGTCGGGCTGGTTGCCAGATGGAGCGCGAGGTGCGTCAGTCGTAGGGGTAATGGCGGCGCCAGGGACCTTGCGTTTGCGGCGGCCAGGTACGGCGTGGGTTTGAGCGCCAAGGACGGCAGCATGAGGGTGTTGCGCGGGTGTTACACGTTTCACCTCGAAGTTGGATGCGATGGTGTAAGCGCTGCAGTCCAAGCCGCTGAGCTCCACACCACGTTGCGTGTAGTTTTGCACAACGTTGGCGAGGGTGTAGTCGCCATGTTCGTCCGCCTCTACAAGCTCCACGCCGGTTTCCGCGTCTTCTGGTTCCACAGCGGAATCGGATGCCAGGGCAGTGAAGGCGCCTGTCGCCAGGTAGTTGCGTTTGTAGGTTGCTTGGAACGTGTCGTGGCCCGATAGTTTGAAAGCAACCAGTGCCATGCCGGCCGTGATGGTAGCCGTCATGCGATGCACCGCGGTACACAGGTTGCCGAACACGCTGGGTTCATGACCAGTGGCACTGGGTTGGTGACCTGCCATCATGAAGTCCTGTACACGCCCTACGGCGGTACATGTGAGGTGCGCCTGGCTGCGTTCGATTGTCTTCGCAGTGTACTTGGAGCTGTAGTACGCAGCGTCACGGGCGCGATCAATGGCGGGTTGTAGGAGGGGGCAGTCGCCGCATTCGTTGATGGGACGCGCTAGTTGGGCGGCGATGTCAGCCGTGTAATCCCGGTCGACTTCGCAGGCCAGGGACATCAGATGGTTGCATCCGAAGGCCAGAGCAATCGCA